AATCTAGAAATCAGTGTGTGTTTAATTTATTTCGTTGAAGTATTTGTTAAGAATTACTATTATAAATGATGGTAGTAGTTTGAAACGAGAAATATTTTGATTGGGTTAAACATCAATCGATAATATATGTATTAATACAAAAGGAGGCGCTTTGATATTAGTAAAAATCAGGGATTCGTAAAGAAAAACGTATGATTCATTCTTGTCTGTTCTACTATATACGTAAGATATTACTTACTTAACTGTTTTTTGTCACTTGTCAAACTCATTAATTATTATGCCTGGTAAATCACACATTTGGTGTTCTCATCCTTATCATGATGAAGTGTTATCTAATGGAAAAAAGCGGTTTTCAAAAGTTGGTCAAAAACCATCACATCCAAAAGGAAAAAGATCAATAAACGAACAACTCGCTAATTATATCAACAGCCATAGTGAAAGTATTTTAAACGGAAGTTCGACAAAACTTGAAGGTGGTGATTATCTTTGTTCAACATGTTATACAAAGGAAGAAAATCTTTTTATGAATGACGAAGAAACAAATATGGATACTGATGATTGTGAAGAAACATTCAACTACAACAACTTGCACAACGATTCAGGTTGTCAACAATGCTCTCCCATGGATGATGATACACATGTTGAACAAGAAGTTATTAAAAGAAAGTTGAACCAAGCTTTTCAATTTGTGAATGTCCAGAAAATCGATGATTTGTGAGTTCTTTTCTTTGTAAAATCAAAATCATGTAATTCTTTTTTTCATAGTCGTAATAGCAAACAAATTTCAAATGCTATCGACGAAACTTATTTCAAACTTCGAGAGTGGAGTAATACAATTGCGCAAGCTACTCGTCGTGATGAAAAACCTGAAGCATTTCATTCACTTAATGTTTCAATTGATGATGCTGCTTGGATTCTAAATCATCTACGAGAACTGTTCAGTATCAGTGACAACGAAGAACAACAACGACTTATGACAATGTTGCCACCAGATTGGGGTCGCAATCGAATCGCTAACTGGTTTGGTGGTTCACAACATCAAGCTCGACAATCCATAGAGCTGCGAACAACTGATGGTGTTTTCTCGAAACCTGAAGATCGACGAGGAAATAAATCACTTGTTGAACAAATTGAACTTGCAGTGCATAACTTCTACACAAGTGACGAAGTCAGCCGAGAAACATCATACAAGAAGCAGGTTATTCATCCACCACCATCTAGAAAGCCCGTTCCTTTACGTTTTCTTCATTCGAACATTGGTGAGACATTTCAACAGTTCAAATTGAAGTATCCAAACATGGAAATAAGTCGATCCAAGTTCTTTTCACTACGACCAGTTTGGGTGAGGGAACAAACAACTCATGAATCATGTATGTGTATTTATCACGAGAATGCTGATTTAGTGCTTCAGGTAATTCATTATTACGGTTTACGATTCAATTTATTTTCTAAATTTTAGGGAATATCAAAATCGCTTCAACGCCTCGTCACGATAAAAAGCTTAATTGAAGAAACTATTTGCAAATCTCCTTCAGAATCTTGTCATTATCGTCAATGTGCCAATTGTCGTCATTTAACAGCATCTGCTATACTATCTGATGGTATAGATATTGAAACTGAAGATTCAGCTTCATGGTCAATATGGAAGAAACTTAATTCACGTTACGAACTTCTTCATTTGACTGGTACCTTGCGAGCTCTTTTAGAAGAAATCGACAATTTATGGCCGAACTTCATTATACACAACTTTTACACAAATGAACAACGCGACTACATTGCCTTAATTAAAGAGACGTCCAGTATCACCACTTTTGCAATTGTACAGGTGGACTTTGCTCAAAATTATTCGTTGATTATACAAAAAGAAATTCAATCAGCATACTATTCACGTCAACAAGCAACCATTTTTACAATATACATAAAAGTCGGTGAAGAACATCGTAACATGGTAATAATCTCCGATTATCTTGCACATGATACAAAATTCGTTTACTCTGGACAGAAATTCATCGTCAATTTTCTTCAAAAACAATACCCAAACGTTTTCAAGCTGAATTATGTGAGTGACGGTGCATCAGCTCACTTCAAGAGTAAGTATTCAGTACTTCAAGATAGCATTCGAATGAAATATTTTCTTTTCATTAGATAAATACAACATGTACAACCTAGCTCATCATCATGTAGATTTTAATATTGGCGCATCATGGACATTTAGTGCATCTGGACATGGAAAAGGTCCTTGTGATGGCGTGGGAGCAGTGATTAAGTCAACTGCTACACAACATATAATTAAAGGTGGGCCAAATGCTTCCTTCTCGTCACCAAAACAATTTTATGAATGGTGTGTCGACAAAAATGATCGACTAGTTATCGCAAGACCTCGTCGAATAGATACATCGAAATGAGTTAATACGGGATTTCAGTGCTAATAGCATCCAAAAAAAACAAAAAATTCTACACAGAAAAAAAGTAATGGGGGTAAAATTTTCAATGCTAAAATTCATATAAAATTATACCCCCTTATTTCTGGGAAGGTTAGGGGGTAAAGGGGGTAAAATTTCCAATGCTAATATATATATAAAAATTATACCCCCTTCTTTCTGGAAAGGTTAGGGGGTAAAGGGGGTAAAATTTTCAATGCTAATATATATATAAAATTATACCCCCTTATTGCTGGGAAGGTTAGGGGGTAAAGAGGGTAAAATTTTCAATGCTAATATATATATAAAAATTATAACCCCTTCTTTCTGGAAAGGTTAGGGGGTAAAGGGGGTAAAATTTTCA